AGAGCGAGGGAGCTTCATGGGAATGCGTTCAGCTCTATATCCACGGCCCTCTTGCGGATTGGAATGGCCCCCCCCCCCCCCCCTTTCCCCCCCCTTCGTAGGAATTCATTGACGAGTGATCAAGGACCAGCTACAGAGGATTCACATTCGGTTTGGATGGGCGCGTCGCTCGGAATTCAACGTGGCTGGCACAGATTTCAGGTTCCGTGGTTTCGTAAAGCTCGAGTATGCAAGTCTGGAGTTAATTTGTTTGTTTTGAGTGCTTCTGTTCAACTGAGGTCCAATGGGTTCTGAGTCGGATTGCGATTGGATTAACAACTGCCCTCTGGGGTTTGTCTGATCATAACTTCGAATTTGCCCCAGATCAGTATGGCATTGCAGCGCAGTGGGATCTCACAGCTCGGTGCTCTCATTACTCGTCTTCTTCCTCTTCTCCTCCCGCCTCGCTGCATTCATTCATCTTCCCGCCCTCTCCCTCCACCTTCCCCGCTGCAGATGCAATGCAAGTGCGTTGCAAACGCAAACGCGACGCAATTCGTCGCACCGCAATGTAACACTTAGTTGGAATGCGCATTCAGGTGCAGTTATTCCCAACCATCTTGTGGTGTTGGATCCTCGTTTTGAAGGGACAGCGCCCCGCGTTCTCCTCCTTCCTTCTTCCTTCTTTCCTTCCTTACTTTCTTCCTTTCTTCCTTTCTTCCTTTCTTCCTCCTCCTTCTCCTCTTCCTCTCCTCCTCCTCCTCCTCCTCCTCCTCCTCCTCCTCCTCCTCCTCCTCCTCCCTCCTCCCTGCGTTTCCCCCGCCCAGTGCAGCGTTTCGTGGCCCCGTAGGGAGCTCCACCGAAGGTCCCAGTGGCGGAACTCGCATGCGGTTCCCCCGCCCAGTGCAGCGTTTCGTGGCCCTATACGGAGCTCCACCGGAGGTCCCAGTGGCGGAACTCCGCGTGTCGCGGCCCCATGAGGAGCTCCACCGAGGGTCCCAGTGGCGGAGCTCGAGGCGGGATCTGCGCCCAGTGCGGTGTTTCGTGGCCCCATAGGGAGCTCCACCGAAGGTACCTGTGGTGGAACTCGCGCGCGGATTCTGCGCCCAGTGCGGTGTTTCGTGGCAGCTCCACCGAAGGTCCCAGTGGCTGAGCTCGCATGCGGTTCCTCCGCGCAGTGCGGCGTATCGTGGCCCCATAGGAAGCGCAGCTTTCACGCGCTTCGTGGCCCCCTAGCTTGGGCGCGAGCGGTTCGCGGCCAGACCTTCTCTCGGTCCTGTAGACTCTCGCCCTGGTCCGTCGGCTGGCCGGTGCGTCGCTCCCTCGGCCGACGTCGCCCTGGCGTGATCCTTGACTGCGGCCGCCGCGAGGTCGGGGGCGGCGAGCAGGAGGGCGGCGACTGTTGGCTGGAGCCCTACGCGCTGCTCTCGCGCGCCACGCGCCGCGAGGACATCCTGCTCGCGCGGGCGCCGCAAATCGAATCCTTCCTGGCAGGGCCGCCGGGCGGCTTGCGGAAGCAGCTGCGGCAGCCTGCGGCGCGCGCGAAGCGGCGCCGAAGGGAGGCGACGGCGCTCGCCGGGGATCTGGGCTTCACCGAGTTTATCCGCGAGTCCTGGCCAGGGGGCGACCCGCCCGAGCCTCGCCCCTTTTCGATGGTCTGATTGTTTGGCCCCGCGCCGCGGGCGACCCGCGCGCGTCGCTGGGGCCCCTTCGGAGCGACCAGCGCGCGACCTTGGAACTCCTTGCCGCGCTCTGCCCAGCGCCTCGCTCGCCTGTCGTCGCTCTGCCCAGCAGCCAGAGCCTTGCCTGCAATCGGCCAGCGGGCCTAGACCTTCGCTCCGCGCTGCGGGCGACCCGCGCGCGTCGCTGGAATCCCTTCGGGGCGACCGGCGCGCGTCGCGGGGGCTCCGCGCTCCGCTGCGCCCGCAGCTTCGGGCTTTGGAGCGCGCGGGCGCAGAGGGGCATGAGACCGGTTCAACAGACGACCGTCTCAACAGGGACTGGCTCAACAGACGACCCGTCCAACAAACGCCCGTTCAACAGACGACCTGTTCAGCAAAATCTGGTTCATCGAAGACCGGTTCAACATGACTGGTTCTGCAGAACGGGTTCCGCGGAACTGGTTCCACATTGCCCGTTCCGCAGGGCGGGTTTCGCAGACTTGGTTCCGCGGGCCCGTTTCCGCAGGGCCGCTTCCACGGGCCAGGTGGCCAAACCGGTCCACTGGCGCTCCAGACTTTTCAGGCACTCTGGGTACTTCTGGTGCTCTGGACCAGGCACTTGAGCCGTGTGCTCTGGCACCCGCCCGCCCGCTCGACCTGGCCCGCCCGTTAGGGTTTGCGTGTCAGTTCGATGATGCGCAATAATTTAATGTCCCGCCCGACCCGACCTGCCCGCCCGTCAGGGTCCGCCCGCCCGCGCCGGCCCGTTCCGCCCGTTGGGGTCCGCCCGACCCGCCCCGCCCGTTCAAGTTTTTGCGTGCCAGCTCGATGATGGATCGTATTGTAATGTCCCGCCCGCCCGACCCGACCCGACCCGACCCGCCCCTTAGGGTCCGCCCGCCCGACCCGGTCCGTCCCGCCCGTTAGGGCCCGCCCGCCCGCCCGGCCCCTCCCGCCCGTTAGGGTACTCGCGTGCCAATTCGATCCCAGAGGGCCTGGACTTGCTAAAATAAGCGTTCAGTTCTTGTTGAACAAGCGAACGGTTAAAATAAGCGTTAGCGGTTGTTTTAAGCGTTCGCGGTTATTTTAAGAGTTTGATGTTATTATAAACATATGCAACATAGCATGTTAACTACAATGTTATCATATTAAGTATGTTTATCATTCGCGCATGCATTTCTCACGCGTGTCGCGCCCCACATGCGCGCGGCATGTACTTCTCACGCGCATCGTGCCCCGCGTGCGCGCGATATCGCACCCCTCGCGCGCATCGTGCCCAGCGCGCGTGCGATATCAAGATAGAACGGCGCACCCCTCGCGCGCATCGTGCCCCACGCGCGTGCGATATCTAGTAAATTGCCTTCGGCAACGTCCCGCCAGCCACTGGTGCCCGCGCGGTGCCCGCGCCGCCGATCCAGTCGCAGGGCGGCGCCCGAGATCGACAAGGCGCTGCGCCACGTGCGAGGCCGCCGTGGGGAGAGGGGGGCCCAGGGACAGCCGCAAGGAGGAGGGGGAGGAGGAGGAGGAAGAAGCGGAAGAGGAGGAGAAGGAGGAGGAGGAGGAAGGGGAGGAGGAGGAGAAGGAGGAGAGGAGGAGGAGGAGGAGAAGAGAGAGAGGGAGGAACAAAACAAGGAGGAGGAATGAGGAGGAGAAGAAGAAGAGAGAGGAGGAGGAGGAAAGAACGAGGAGGAAGGAGGAGGAGGAGGAGGGGAGGAGGGGGAGAGGAGGAAGAAGGACGGAGGAGGAGGAGGAGGAAGGAGGAGGAAGGAGGGAAGGGGAGGGGAGACGAGGAGTCGAATGCAACGCCCACCGGCACCCCCGCCATCCTGGGGTGGGAGGAGGGGGGGGACGATCGAGGAGGAAGAGGAGGAGGGGGAGGAGGAGGAGGAGGAGGAGGAGGAGCGGGAGGAGGAGGAGGAGGAGGAGGAGGAGGGGGAGGAGGGGGATAGGGGGAGGGTGAGGGGAATAATCATTTGCGCGAGCAGGAGAAGGAGGGGAGGAGGATGAGGAGGAGAAGGGAGGGAGGAGGTGGTGGAGGAGGAGAGGGAGACGATGATGAGAAGGAGGAGGAGCACGGAAGGGCGCGTTCTCTCATCCTCATCCCCATCTTCGTCCTCTTCCCCTGCCTGCTCCCCTTGCTTCTCCTCCACGTCTTTCACCTTCTCCATCCTCCCTCCCCCCCCCATCGTCTCTCCCCCTCCCCCTCGCGCCCCTCGTTCTTCCTCTCCTCCTCCTCCTCCTCCGCCTCCTCTTCCTCCTCCTCCTCATATCTCCATCCGTCCTCCTTATCCTCCTCGCCTTCGTCCCTTCTCCCCCTCATCCTCGCTCCTCTCGTCCTTTCTCTCCTCCACCTCTTATTCTTCATCATTCCCCCTCGTCATTCTTGCCGCTGGCGGCGCGCCGCAGTGGCTCAGGCACCGCGCGGCGCGCCAGTGCCTCAAAGCTTCCTCCACCTCAAGTCCTCGGGGAGGGAGGCGGCAAGGATCCTTCATCCTCCTCGTCCGCTTCCTGCTTCTCTTCCTGCTCCTCTCCTCCTCTAATCCTCATCCCCCTCCTCCTTCTCCTTCTCTTCGCCCTCCTCCCCCTCCTTCTACGCCTCCTCCTCCTCCTTTTCCTTATCCTCCTCCTCCTCCTCCTCGTCCTCCTCCTTGTCCTCCTTCTGACCTTATCCATCTCCCCATCCTCCTTCTCCTCCTCCCCCTCTTTCTGGGCTCTTGTTTCGGATCGGCGCCATCGGCTGCCACCGGTCGTCGGGCCGCCGTCGACTTATGTCGTCGTTGTCGTAATCGTCGCATCTGTTGTATCTGTCGTCGTCGTCGTCCTCCTCCTCATGCTCCCCATCCTCCTCCTCCTCCTCCTCCTCCTCCTCCACCTCCTCCTCCCCCTCCTCCTCCTCCTCCACCACCTCCTCCTCATCTTCCTCCTCCTCCGCCTCCTCCTCTTCTTTCTCCTCCTCTTCCTTATCCTCCTGCTCCTCCCCATCCCCCTCCCCCTCCTCCTCTGTCTCCTCCGTCTTCTCCTCCTCCTTCTCCTCCTCCTCCTCTTTTCCCATCCTCCCCCTCCTCCTCCCCCTCCTCCTCCTCCTCCTCCTCCTGGGCCGTTGGGTCGGATTGATTTCGTCGGCCACCACCGGTCGTCGGGCCGCCGTCGATCGTTGTCGTTGTCGTCGTCGTCGTGGTCATGGCCGTCGTCTCCGTCGTCGCAGTCGCCCGTGTTAGCCGTTACGTCCATCGTATTTGTCGTCGTCGGCACTAGTTCATGGTGTCATCGGTGCGTCATCGATGCGTCATCGATGACGCATCGATGACGCATCGATGCCACCACGTCCACATCATCACCCACCACGTTTGATCAGCACACCCCGTGGTCCACGATGTGGAACGGCGACGTAGGGCTGTCGTCGTCGGTCTCCAGTTCGTCTGCCACCTGCTCGAAGTTCGCCTGCGAGCTGGCCTCCAAGATGCCGCGCCTCGTCTCGTAGCGCGTGCGGGGTTGCTGCTCCTTGCCTGTGCCCTTGCCCTTGTCGAACTGCGCCGTGCCCTTGCCCGTGTCGAGGTCTCCCGTGCCCGTGCCCTTGTCGGGCTGCTTCGTGTCCTTGCCCTTGTCGAGCTGACCCGTGCCCGTGCCCTTGTCGAGATTGCTTGTGCTATTGCCCTCTTCGAGCTGCTCCGTGCCCTTGCCCTTGTCGAGCTTGCGTGTGCCCTTGCTCTTGTCGAGCTGCTCCGTGCCCTTGCCCTTGTCGAGCTCCGCGCACGTGCCCTGGCTGCCTTGGGAAGCCTCCTGCGCAATCGCCCTCGCGTGCCTGTTGTTGATGTACCGCGCCAGCTCCTGGTAAGTCCAGAGGGGGTCGACATCGTCGTCGTTGTCGTGCCCCCACTCCTCGTAGTACTCGTCGAGCAGCTTCTGCGCGCAGTACACGTCCAACTCTGTAGTGGACAACCTATCCCACCAACAACTGCCCTTGATCGTGTCAGCGGCGTTCTCACCAATGCCGTCGTCCTTGGCGGTGCCAAGGTCGTCCGCATATGTCTCCTCGGCGGCCTGCATCGCCTCGATGCGCTCGCGGGCGCTCTCGGCGCGCTGGTGCTGGCGAGGAACGTACACCTCCAAAGCTCCGTCGGACATCTCGCCGTCGTAGTCGCCCGTGTCAGCCGTGCCATCCATGTCCTCATCATCGGGGCCGTCGTGATCGCGTTGCAAGCCGTCGTAGGGGTCTTGGGTAGCTGTTTCGCCGTCCTGAAGCGCGTCTCCATGAGGCTCGCTGCCAGCCGCCGCGCCGCGCCCGTCCTCGTGGCCAGCGTCATGACCGTCGCTGTCGCTCATGCTGGTGTCCAAACCGAAGTGCATCGCATTAGCCCGCGCCCAGTCGACGCCGTCTCTGCACCAGCCATTCGGGTCGGCGTTGATGCGAGTGATGACCTCGCGTGGTGAAAGATCGTGAAGGAGCCCTGTAACCTTGAGCTGAAGGAAGAGCCTCGGCGGCATGATCAATGATGTCAGGCTCTCGGTGCGAGTCGGGATGTAAAAAAACAGTAGGCTCGACGAAACCCATATTCGAGCCAACGCAGCTAGACCACCATCGCGTTTCTCAGCGTTTAAAACATGTTAGCGATGCTGTTGCACGCTATGTATGGCTCGATCTATGTGCTTGTGGTGTGGTTGTTCCCCCACCCTCTCTCTCTCTCTCTCTCTCTCTCTCTCTCTCTCTCTCTCTCTCTCTCTCTCTCTCTCTCTATATATATATATCATGTTCTGTATATCTCGCTCGTCGCGGGTTGTTTTCTTAATCGCCGACGGGGGTCGGGGGGTCTTTGGAGCGAGCCGTCATCGATCCGCTGAGCTGGTCAGCGATGCAACGCAAGCCGCGCAATGCAACTGAACTCCCGCGCCGAGAACTGCGGGGGGAAGGGGCGGGCTGGTTGCAATAAAATCGCCATCGATCGTTGAGATGACGCAATCCAGTCGATGCATATCGAAATCGCTGACCAGGGCCCAATTTTGAAGTGAAGCTCCCTCCATCCAACGCGACGCAAATTGAGGTTGGAGCGTGCTTCGAGCGACAGTCGGGGAGGAGTGGCCTCACACGACAGAGGGTGAGGAGGTGGTTGAGGAGGAGTGGCTTACACATCGAAGCTGGTCGAGCTGGGCATTTGACTGGCAGGAACGGACTCGACTTGCGCCTCGCACGGTGCACTGGCTACGACTGGCGCCTCGCACGGTTGGCTGCGACTGGCGCCTCGCACGACTGGCTGCGGCTGGCTCTCGGCTAAA